GTTTCTGTACCCAATATTTAAAAAATGTACAAATGCAATAAAAATATCGGTATCGGCAAGTACCAAAAAGAAAAGTATCAGTATCGGGCGAGTACTGGAAAAAGTGGTATCGGTGAATCCCTAAAATGTACCCATGTACTTATGTACCCACTGGCTGATCTGTATGTCATTACAGTCTAGTGAGTTACCAGCTATTTGGAAGTACTCCCGTATTACTCCAGTTTATAAAGTGAAAGTGACGTTACCCATACTAGGAATTAGTGCTCTGCATTTATCCCATCCTAAGTGCACACACACAGCAGTGAACACACACACACCGTGAACACACACCCGGAGCAGTGGGCAGCCATTTATGCTGCAGTGCCCGGGGAGCAGTTGGTCAAGGGCACCTCAGTCATGGTATTGAAGGTGGGAGAGAGCGCTGTACATTCACTCCCCCAACCTACAATCCCTGCCGGACCTGAGACTGGGTTATGAGACTGGGTTACGAGTCCGACCCTCTAACCATTAGGCCACGACTTCCCACAGGAAGGAGGTGGTGATATTATTGATCCACAAAATTATAGACCAGTATCAATAATCTGTGTTATTGTCAAAGTATTTGAAAAATGAATCTATAATCAGATATCAAAGTATCTTGAAAATAATAATATTTTATCACTGTTTCAATCTGGATTTAATCTGTTTCAATTTAGGCCTAATTACTCAACAAATAGTGCTCTTCTAAAGTTGACATGATGTATTTTCAGCATTAGATAGTGGTGACCTTACAGGGGCTATTTTTATCGATCTTAAGAAGGCTTTTAATCTAGTTGATCATTACTTATTATTAGATCAATTATATGCAGTTGTTTTTTCTCAAAATTATTTATTGTGGTTTAATTCTTATTAACATAACAGAAAACAATGTGTGGTTATCCAAGGAAAACAATCTGATTGAAGAAAGAGGGGTACCACAGGGCTCAATATTGGGTCCTCTTATTTTTTCTATTTTTATTAATGATTCTCCCTTAGTTCTTTCGCATTGTTCTGTTCATCTGTATGCAGACAATACTGTCATTTATATTTAAAATCCTCATTTACCTCAAATTCTAAATATGCTTCAATCAAATTTTAATGCTTTACAAGAGTGGCTCTATTCTAACAATTTACTACAGATTTTATCCAATAGCTGTAGAAGCTTTAAATGCCTCAGGACTAATGTGAAGAAATGGTTTTGTGTATTTTTGAGTATTTGCACAGTTTTTTTTATGGATTTTGTGCAATTTTTTGAATGTAAGTGGGTGTGTGCACTTTTTTTGGAATGAGAGACAAAAAATCATTTTCATTAGGACTGTTGGACAAATGACAATATAGGTATTTGTATTCATTAACGAAGGTAAATCTCACAAGGTCTTTGGTACAAAGCATATGTTTATATTAAAATCTAATAATATGAAAATAATGTGTAATGATGGCACTTACTTGCACAGAGGGGATCAAATTAAATATCTGGGCTTATGGCTGGATCCTGAACTTTCTTTTAAACCTCACATTGATTATATACTTCATAAGATTAATTTTGTATCGCTCAAAAATTGTTTTTCTTTTAATGCCCGGAAAAAAATGCTTTGCAACATATATTACCGTTTTTTGACTATGCTGATGTAGTTTATCAGAATACAACCAAAAGTAATCTTTTGCCTCTTACTACAGTCTATAATAAATTGTGCAGATTTGTTATTCGATGTTCATATGATGGTCACGGTTCAGCTACTTTGAAGGAGCGAGGAACGAGAAGACGAGGGAATTACAATAATAGCAGTCTTTAATCCTCCAAATCCCTGGGAACACAGAACAGGCAGGAACACACACACGTAGCACATGGAGTAGACGTTTAAGATCCGACAAGGAAACATGGGGCAGACTAAACTATAAATACTACACTTAATGAGGGAATTGGGGAAACACACCTGGGAGCAATTAAACACAATTGGAACAGGAACAGGAAGGGAACCAAATATGGGCATGTCACATAGAGGGAGAACTAGGTCACGGAGCACATGGGGAGCAAATCAAACACACTGACAGTCCATATTCCTGACATATCGCCCCCCTCCCGAAAGGTGCGTCCTCGTGCCGAAGAAACAACAGAAGGAGGGAAGGTTGGGAACTTGGCAGGAGGCCCAGGAGGAGGACGGACACCCGGGAGGGGGCCAGCAGACAGAGTACAGGGAGTTGAGGACAGAGGGAGGAGCCAGGACGGATCAGACCAAGGGAGGAGCCAAGGAGGAAACAGGAGGGACTTGGAGCATGCGGCGCCAGGTGGGACCCAGGCCACAGCCATAATGGCAACCCACGGTGGAGCCGACGGGGGGAGGAGCCATGGAGGAGGAAGGGCTGACGACTCCAGGGGGACGACCAATGGTGGCGGAGCAGGTGGCGGAGGAGCCCGAGGCGGAGACGGAGAGCCGATGAGCCAGGGTTACAACGAGGATCCAGAGGGCCAAGGCGGAGCAGATGGCTCAGGCGACCGATATGGAGGTGGGGATCCAGAAGGCCGCGGTGGAGCCGGAGCGACAGAGGACCAAGGTGGAGCCGAAGGGAAGGAGGAGCCTGACGGAGCCGGAGGGATGAAGGGATGAGGCGCAGCCGGAGGAGTGGAGCCCCGAGGCGCAGGATGATCGACAACAGACCAAGGCGGAGCTGGAGGGACGAGGGAGCCTGGTGGAGCCAGTAAACTGATGGGCCACGGCAGAGAGGAGGGAGCAAGGATCCATGGTGGAGCCGCTGGGTCGACAGGCCGAGGCGGAGCCCGGGGCTTAGAGGCTGGAGGTGGAGGCCAGGGATTCTCCAGCCATGGTGACGATGGAGGATGGCACACCCGTGGAGCTTGCACCGTACAGATGGTGGGCTGAGGGCGAGCAGAGGGGCTGCTAGACGACAGCGGTGGATAAGGCAGGAGCGGGTGGGCGTGCATTTGTGAACTCTCTCTGGGATGGACAGGGAAACAGGAGCCCTCTCTGGGCTAAACTCAGGAACGGGAGGGACAGAGGTCACCGACAGAGGAGGGAGGAGAGGGGGCAGGTCGGTAAACAAGTCAATAAGGTCTCCCTCCACTTTCCATTCACCCAGATCTATTCTCAGCTCACCCTCAGCCATGGTGCAGGGGGCGGAGCTCCTCTCCGCGCTCTCTCTGTCCACGGCTTTCTCCCTCGTGGCGGGCATTGTAGCCGGCTCTCGCACCTGGTCTGCCGATCCATGAGGCTCTGGCTCCGTGGCGATCCTCAGCTCTGTCACACTCCTAGGCGATGGCTCGTCGGTCGCGACGGGCTCTGGCTCTCCGTCAGTGGTGGGCTCGCGCTCTGCGCAGCAGTGTGAAGGTGGGCTGGGCTCTGGGTCAGGCTGTGCTCTGGATCGGTGATAGACGCTCTCCAGACACCGGATGATTGCTTGCCTCCAGCTCAGTCCAGAGGTGTCTGGGAGATCAATGGGGCGGTGGTAATTTGCCCTGATCCAGAACAGTGAGTTCAGCGCAAAAGGTCTTTACGGGCAAGGGAGGTAAACTTAGCGGCGAGGGGATCCATACAGACAAACGGGAGGAAAAAAAAACACTGAGTAAAACACGGAAACTAAACAGAGGGAAAACGCAATTATACTGTTTTAGGTTGGATCTTCTGTCACGGTTCAGCTACTGTGAAGAAGCGAGGAATGAGGACATGAGGGAATTACAATAATAGCAGTCTTTAATCCTCCAAATCACTGGGAACACAGAACAGGCAGGAACACACACACGTAGCACATGGAGTAGACGTTTAAGGTCCGATAAGGATACATGGGGCAGACTACACTATAAATACTACACTTAACAAGGGAATTGGGGAAACACACCTGGCAGCAATGAAACACAATTGGAACAGGAACAGGAAGGGAACCAAATATGGGCATGTCATGCACGAGGGAAAACTAGGTCATGGAGCACATGGGGAGCAAAACAAACACACTGACAGTCCATATTCCTGACAATGATACACACCACTGTATTAGGTAAGCAATGAAACACAATTGGAACAGGAACAGGAAGGGAACCAAATATGGGCATGTCACACACGAGGGAAAACTAGGTCACGGAGCACATGGGGAGCAAAACAAACACACTGACAGTCCATATTCCTGACAATGATACACACCACTGTATTAGGTATGATTTACTTAAATGGTTTTTAAATGGCATATTCACTGGTTGCAATTTATTTTCAAATGTATAAATTTTAATTATCCTAATTATTTGCGTCAGTATTTGATATTATATTCTTCTTCATATCATTTAAGACACTCTGCTAATTATTATTACTATTATTATTTTACTCCTTTAGTTAAGAAAGTGTTTGGGAAAAGGCATTTAGGTATAAGGCTCCAGCAGATTGGAATAATTTACTCTTAAATGTACTATCTTTGACTTCATTTTATGTTAAAAAATGGTCTGTTTTCTTGTTTTGAAACGTGTAATTGCTTTAGATGATATATCTGTGTTTATATTTATATGTGCTAGGTAAATATAACTATAAATATAAATAATATAAATATAATTATTTATACTTCATGTGTTAATATTGTAGTAGGGTGTGTTGTTTTGATTGTTGTTGTTGTTTGTTTTGTGTTATGTTTTTGGATTCTTATGTAATAGGACCCCCTTGAAAACGAGATGATGCATCTCAAGGGGTTTATCCCAAAGAATAAAATTTGTTGCATATTCTTGAAAAATAAAAAAGTAAAAAATTAATGCATTCTTTTACTGGAATGTTAAACAATGATTGTTCAGAAGAATCATGCATTGGAGACCTGAGGCATCAGAAAAAAGTTTTAACTAATTTGATTGCATTCTTAATTTGACTCTTTCAGAAATAAAGTTTAAACATCAGCCAATTGTGAAATTCTTAATTCTCTATTAAATAATGTAATACCGTGAAAGTTTTTTTTTTTTTTTTCAATCAAACACTGATTGATAATAGTTCCACAACAATCAAAAACAAAAATGTGGAAACTAAGCAACCCTGCCTCACTCCTCTGTTGATAAAGAATCTTCTAGAAGAATTATTCTGTAATCTAACGGAACTATTAACATCTCCATAAAACATTTGAACAGTTTTAATAAAACTATTTCCAAAACCAAATGTATAAAACCCTATAGTAAAAATTGATGATCAATTGTGTTAAACACCTTATAAAAGTCGAGAAACAAAATGAGTGCATCTGAATTAACAAAGTGATTATAATCTAATAGGTCCCATACAAGCCTAATATTTGAACTAATATGACGTTTCGCCATAAAACCAGTTTGAGATTCGCCAATTATGTTACTTAAACCACTTTTTAGTCTAGTTACACAAACTAAGGCTAAACTTTTATAATCAATATTTAATAAATTAATTGGTCTCCAATTGTCAATGATTAAGGGGTCTTTATCTGATTTTAGAATTAAACAAATAACACCTTGCTTCATTGTTGAACTCATTTCTTTCTTTTCTAAACATTCTTTATACATGCTAAATAAAGAGTTTTCTATCAGGTCCCCAAAAGCACAATACAACTCAATGGTTAACCCGTCTGATCCAGGGGATTTTCCTTTTTTCATAGAAAAAGGAACTTTAGAAATCTCAGCTTTGGAAATATCATCCTCACCAAATTCTCTATAATCATTAGAAACTATTGGAACACAATTTTGTCATTGGCAGAATGGGAAGTATAAAATTTTTCATAAAAAGAATACACAAAAGACGCTATATCTGAAGGATTATTGGAGATTCTTTAATTTATTTTTGAAGATGAAATAGAGTTTCTTGTATAATTTCTTTTTTTTTTCTCCAGAGAAAAAAATAACTAGTATTCCTTTCTCCTTCCTCAAACCATTTGGCCCTTGACCTCACATAAGCACCTTTGCTTAGTTCTACATACAGTTTATCTATTTCTAAACTGAGAAGACATATTTTAAACTGTTCATCATATATTTTTGTTTAATTAAAGTATTAAGTTTATCTGTTATCTCTGTAATCTTTCTAAGTTTGTTTTTCTTTAACTCTTTGCCTCTTCTCATAGCAATTACCCTGACCTTAAATTTAAATAGCTCCCACTTTTGTGTATAATTCAAATTTTTATTTTCAAAAATATTTGATATCAATTTAACCTGTTCCACAAAATAATTGTCAGATAGCAGATTGTTGTTTCATTGCCGTTTCCACGAATCGTATTAGGGGGGTCATTTACTACTCTTTGGAAACTGTTTGAAGTCAGTTGGGGAGATGATAGTGGTAGACTGTTTAGCATCTCCTTGATAGTGGGGAGAACCCTTTGGCAATTTAACACCCATATAAATGTATAATCTGTGGGCAGGACTGTAATTTATATGCAAATGTCAAAGGCTAAAAG